ATAAGTTAAATTAACAAATAAATAATAAATAAATACATTTGTGTGTGTGACCTCTCGATTTCGTTGCTATGGAGTGCATGGTATGAATAACTAAATATAATATCGGATGAAATTACTTTCTTTGACAAAAAGTAGACGCATTATTTACATAAATTAGAGGGAAATATATATGGAAGGCATATCGAAATCTGAACCTATCTCGACAAAACTTGGAAAAAGGTATTTTTATTTTACCATATATTTATTTATCAGGATTTGGGTGACTTAGATATAAAATGGGCTGAAACTTATAAATGTGAGCTACACACTTAATTCTAGGCTAAATGCGGAAGTCTCTGCCAAAATTTAACCCATTTGGGCTAATGTTACACATTTGGCAAACTGTATACTTCAAACCCAATAAAGGTATATATAGGAGCTATATTCAAATCTAAACAGATCCCGATAACATTTGGCAGTAGTATTTCTGAGCTGTATCTGATACCAAATGTCATTGCTGTGGAGGGTATATTACGAATGTGGAGGCCTTAAACACCGAATCGGATGAAACATATATATGGGAGCTATAGCTATATCTGAAAAGATTTTCACCAAATTGTTTACACTAGGTTCTTGGATGAATTAGATCATATGTGCCAAAATCCATTGTATTTGGGCTGATATGGTGCACAATATGGGAGCTATGTCAAAATCTGAGCCGATCTCGATAACATTTGGCAGAAGTATTTCTGAGTTACATATGATATCTGGCACCATATATGACTGTTGTGGAATGCATATTACGAATATCGAGAAACTAAACCAAGAATCGAATGAAACATTTATATGGGAGCTATAGCTTGATCTTAACCTATTTTCATCAAATTTTAAGTACTTACTTCCGGGATGAATTCGATCGGGTATGCCGAAATCCATTCCATTTAGACGAATATTGCACATATGGAGCACAATAAAATTGAAATTGGACGAAAATATAAATGGGAGCTATATCTAAATCTGAACCAATATTCACCAATATTGCCAGACATAATTCTGGACTGAACCTGGCCGTGTGTTCTGAAATAAATGTTTATCATATCGGAAGACACTATATGTGGGAGCTATATCCAAATCGGATTCGATTATCACCAATTTCAATAGAGTTCGTCCTTGGGCAAATGATTTGTGAAAAATTTCATCTCAGTCAGACAATAAATGCGACCTGTACTTTGTTTACAAAAATATGTGGAATGTGATCAGAAGGTGATTCTATGGAGATCATCAAAAGGAACTATGGGGTCTATTTCGTTTCATTCTCTATGTTACAAACCAATGCACAAAGACATAATGTACCACAGGAGTAGGATATAAAAATATTTGTTTTGGGTATAGCCAAAAATTTCCATTGCACAATAATAGGTTTCCTTACCGAATTTCGTAACTTTGCAAATGCATGTCTCCCGAAAATTGTTTTCATTATTTGGCTACTAAAAGTCAAAAAAGTAGAAGAAATTAGTTGTTTTATTTTTGGAACCCTCTTTGCTATTTTTGTCCGCTGGTGCTAAGAGGGCTTTCTGAATTGACAAAATTTGTCAAAATCGGTCCAGCCATTCTTGAGATATAAGCATTCTAGCTAATATCAATTTCATTTGTATATACACATTGTATATATTTCATTATATATATCCGATATATCAGAATTGACCTCTTCGCTTACATGTAATTTCGCCCGATAGAAAATATTCGCGGTTTAATGGAAAACTTGACTTTTATTTAACACAAATGTTATGGTCTTTTTCACCCACTAAATATTATCCGAGGACAATCCAAATTGGAAGGCTTCTGCCCAGCCCTAAGCTCTAGCCCTACGCTAACTTCCGCGTCGATTGGTCTATAATTGTGACCTGTATGGCAACTGCAAAATCAGTGATTTTTTCATTTTTTGATCCATTTTAACCCCTAAATATTTTGCGATCATCTCCAAAAGCAATAGGCTTCTATTCTGGCCATAAGCATACCTCCATTTTCAATTTCATAAGAATCGGGCCAAAATTGAGACCTGTAGCGTGATAGCAAACTACCATGGACAGACGGACGGATATACCATAACCAGGTCGACTCAGCTCGGCGAGGAAAATCTATATATACTATTCTATGTGGGAAACCAATACATAATTTTTGACCCAATTAAACTTATAATACTCCTAACATAATGTTGCAGGGTATAAAAATTGTAAACTCGGATATAATTTTTTCTATCTATACACATTATTAAAATTAATTTTTTAAACGAGAAAAAATGAAAGAAGAGGAATTCAAAACAAGTAAAAAACATTAAGTTCGGCCGGGCCAAACTTTTAATACCCTCCACGTTAGGGTAAAGGAAACATTAGAGCCTATATACCAATTTTTAGACATATTCATGGGAAAATGTGCCAAAAATCATCAAAATACAGAATATCGGGAAATACGGCTATATGGGGCTATACAGAAACGTGGACCTATACATACAGTGTTTTGCAAAAAGACCTACAAATACCAATTTTCAGAAAAATCCGTGAAAAAATGTGGCAAAAATCATCAAAATACCGAATTCGGGAGGTACCGTTATATGGGGACTATACCAAAACGTGGACCTATAATTGCAATGATTCGCCACACGAACTGGGACTCATTATGTCCTAAAACTACCAATTTTCAGAAAAATCCGTGAAAAAATGTGGCAAAAATCATCAAAATACCGAATTCGGGAGGTACCGTTATATGGGGACTATGGGGACTATACCAAAACGGGGATCTATATATACAATGTTTCGCAACACGAACTAGAACCCATTATGATCTACAAATACCAATTTTTAGACAAATCAGTGAAAAAATATGGCAAAAACCATCAAAATACCGAATATCGGGAGGCTATACCAAATCGTGGACCCATATATGCAATGTTTCGCCACCTATTATGACCAACAAATACCAATTTTTAGCAAAATCCGTGAAAAAATGTGGTAAAAATAATCAAAATACCGAACATCGGGAGGTACTTTTATATGGGGGATATACCAAAGCGTGGACCTATACATACAAAATTCGCCACACGAACTAGGCATAAATCATCAAAATACCGAATATCGGGAGGTACCGTTATATGGGGACTATACCAGAACGTGGACCGATATAGCTCATTTTCAATACCAACCATCCTAGACACAATACAATTTGTTCTGCTAAATTTTCTGCTCTACGTCAAATAATGTGGGCTGTATCGTGATTTCAACAGATAGACAGACGGACAGAAAGACGGACATCGTCAAATCGACTTAGAATTTTATGCTGATTATGAATTATATACTTTTTGGGGTCTACGACGAATATTCAAGGATGTTACAAACGGAATGACAAAGTTAATTTACCCTCCTTTCTAGGGTGAAGGGTATAAAAATAGCTCCCATAAATAGCTTTATCCGATTTCATGTTTGTTGTGCATCACATGATTAATATAGGCCGGAATTGACTGTCCATACGACCGAATTCATCAGATATGGAAGAAAGTGCGTCAAATTTGATTAAAATCCGTTCAGATATACCTATAGCTTCTGTCCTCACAACCGTGAAATTCACCCCACAACAATGATATTTGGTGCCAGCTATCATATACAGTATAAAAATACATTTGCTAAATCTATCCAGATTTAGCTATAGCTTCCACATATTTCTTTATCCGATTTGAGGTTCATTGTGCACAAAATGTGCACTATCAACTCAAATGGGATGGATTTTGGTGAAAATAGAATATTGTGTCGGTACAAATCTTTGGATTTGCCTAGGTTGAAAGTAATCGGATTCTCATTTAAGGTTTTATCTGCGTCATGGATATTCCGCCTGTCAGGCAGGCAGACGGACTGACATCTCCAGATCGACTCCAAATGTCCTGAAACGGATTTGGTCCAATGACGCCAATGTTTTGGCCGTATACATTCCCTTTGTAGACATATGGCTGGGCATATAAAAACATTAATATTTGTTATGATCTACTTCACATTAATTGCCGATATAATCATTTATTTCTTACGGGTAGCGTAGTGGTTTTTGACATTTACAATGTCAACATCCATTGAAGGAACATATAGTTAAACATATCTAACAATCTTCTCAGAATCCAAAGATGATTAAATCGAAAAATTCTAATTAAGAATATATATATATATATATATATATATATATATATATATATATATATATATATATATATATATATATGTATCCACAGGTAGTAAATGGATTTTCTTGCTTAATCTCACTAGGAAGATGTTATTTTAAACATCCAATTGAACTTAAAATCGAAAGTAAATAGGTCGATACAAAGGATAGCTTAAAAATTTCATGTTAGCAATTCTCTTAAATTGGTTCGATTGGTAAAGTTTCATTTTCATTGAAAATATCTCTTTAACAAAGACCATTTCAAGTTACATAAATTGTGTTAGAGCCAAAAGTCATTCGAGAGACAAAGAGCATTGCACGTTTTCAATATCATCTAGATACGATGACTTCTCTAACATTGCGTTCGTTTTCTAGCGTTCTTTCTTCTTTCATTCGAAGTGGATCAACGAATGTCAACGCGAGGCGATTAATATTGAAAGTGTAATTTGCAGGCAATCATCACATCGCAATTTTGTAATATTACAAATAATAAAATAACAACAACAAAAATAAATAAATAAATAAACGTTTTTAATTGCAAACATGTTCGTATGAAAATATGCAATTGCATTGAAATTGATAAATTGGAATTACATCAAGAGGAAGAGTGTGTGGCGTGGTATGGCGGTGTTTGGTCGGTTCAACCAAGTGGATTTGATGTTTGAGCAATAATTTTCCGATTTCAATGAAGTGCATGCATTGCAGCAATGGCAAATAAATTTGAAATTAACTAAAACAAAAAAATACCACACAAATAATTAAAATTTCAAAATAAATTTTATTCACTTAACCCCTTCCAACCCCAACATGTGTGCTGATAGATGCCCTGTATAAACATCAGCCATGCTAGCAGCAAATAATGATGAAATGTTTTGACCCATATTGCAAAATAAAATGATTATTTAACAACAACAACAACAAAATTTACACAATAACAACCACAACAACAATAAAAACAAAACAACCAAGAAAAACTCAAGAATTTGTGAATTACTTAATTGGTATTGCATTCACAGAGAATTGCTCTCGTCGTCCCTCGGCGGACACACCGGCCAACAAAAAAAAAAAAACAAACAAAACCAATCAAAATGTTTACATTTCAAAAATGCAACACCAAGTGCAAGATGGAGAAGCGATTTTCAAGCACTGCCATTTCGTATAACTTTACCTGAGTACGAATTTATGCCAAGAAAGGAAGAGAAAAACAAAATTGAAATTAAAATAAAAATAAAAAGTGAAATAAATTAAACAACAAAACGCATACACACAAGTGTTTCGCAAGTGTCTTTGTGTCAGTGTGTGTGTGTGTGAAAAGTTAAATGGTTGCAGCCAAAAACCAATGTTATATGCCAAAATTTAAAGAGAAATCGCCCAAGTAGAAATATCAAAAGAACAACGTCAATTTTTAACGCAAGACAACGACAACAAAAAGTGTTTACAATAACAAAAAGAAAGAACAAAAGAAATGCAATTGAATGAAAGCTGGTCGAACTGATTATAATGTCTTCATATCGTAGTAATTATGTAAGTATCATAAACAGCATTACACATGTAAACATACATACATACTTTTAATTACACAGCAGTAAGCTGCGAATGAGTGTTAAAAATGGCAATTAACGGAATTTCCATAACTCATACGACACACCATACCACAAAATGTTATATGGCTTGAGTTTTATGGAAGCAAAACACCTTTCTCTCTATCAATAACAACAACAATGCTCCACAGTGCGATGGGGGGTACGTTAAGTTTGTCAAACTATTTGTAATTTCTCAAAATAAGCCACCGTTTGTGGAAACCACTGTAGCTTCCGCACAAAATGCAGTATGTGGACACAATTTTATATTATTCGGTATTGGAAATGAAATACGATTTATTTTAGCACCATATGTAGGTACTCCACGATATTAGTTATTTGGATGATTTTAGATGAATTGCACCGGATTTTTCCCAAAGTTGGTAATTTGAATTCTTAATAAAATCCACCTTCTGTGGCTGATCTTTATCCTATAACGACACTTCCCGATATTTGTCACTACCATAGTCGTGCGGAGCCGACCATGTGATACCCTAAAACAGTATAATATATTGGAAAACCTTCTTGGGTACAAATACATTTTAGTCGATTTTTCTACCTTCTACCATAGTAAAGTATATATATATATGTATATATATATATGTATATATATATATATATATATATATATATATATATATATATATATATATATATATATATATATATATATATATATATATATATATATATATATATATATATATATATATATATTCGTGATCAGCATAACATTCTATGTGGATTTAGCGATGTTCGGCCGTCTGTGAAAATCACTCGAGCTTCCGAGCGAATTGAAGTTGATTGATAAAATTTTACTCAAATGTATATCTGCAGGACTTTTGGTATTGAAAATGGGTCATGTAGGTCCACGTTTTGGTATAGCCCCCATATAACGGTACCTCCCGATATTCGATATTTTAGTGATTTTCGCGACAATATTCACCGGAATTGTTTCAAATTTGAGATTAGAAGTTCGTAATGAATACTACAGCCTAAGACAGAGAATTGTCTGTGCAGGTCCACGTCTTCGTATAGCCCCCATATAACGGAACCTCCCAATATTCGATATTTTGATGATTTTAGCGATATTTTTCACCGGAATTGTTTCAAATTTGGTATTTGAAGTTTCTAATGAATACTACAGCCCATGACAGAAAATTGTCTGTGCAGGTCCACGTCTTCTTATAGCCTCCATATAACGATACCTCCTGATATTCGGTATTTTGATGATTTTAGCGACACTATTCACCGATTTTTGTTAAGTTTCGCATTCGAATATTGTAATGGGTTATGACAAAAGTTGCCTATGCAGGTCCATGCCGTCGTATAGACCCAAATATAACAGCTACATTCGGCATTTTAAGATTTTAATAGAAGTTTTAACGGATTTTATTGTTTCTGAGAATTGCCAAATTCGTTTCAAATGGTGGAGGGTATTCAAAGTTTGACCCGGCCGAACATACAGCTTTTTTACTTGTTTTAAATAATGCCCCACAGCTCTGCACAAGTGTTAACGTTGGAGCGGGTGAATTTACCCGCTCTCTGTCGTGCTGATAGGCATTCAACATAATTTCACACAAAAGTTGTGATCCATTTTACCACCTAAATATAATCCATGGTCGCCCAAAATTCTAGACTTCTGCACTGCCCTAAACCTTCCTTGTCGTTTGTTTTTATACCCCCCACAGTACATAGTATGGAAGGTATATTAAGTTCGTCATTCCGTTTGTAACTCATCGAAATTATAATTTTAGACCTAACAGAGTATATATATTCTTGATTAACGTAAAATTCTAAGACGATTTTGCAAAGTCAATCCGTCCGTCTTTTGTAATTACTCAACGAAATTTCGAAATTGTTTCAATTTCGAAATCGGTACTACAGCCTACGACAGAAAATTACCTATGCATATCCATGTCTTCGTATAGCCACCATTTAACGGTTTTCATTTAAGTGGTATTTTTCGACGTATTATTCTGAACATTTTCAAGATCCTATATATTGTCCGTTTACTTAAACATATTTTGACATCCGTTATGATTATTTAAGATATTGAGCCTTTATGGGGGAGGTTCCGAAAGAGTTAGACATTGTTCATTTCGTTCCAGTTTTCAACTATTTTGATTACTTTCTTCACTTTATATGAGATATGTGATAATTTTTGGAAAATGTTGAAATGTGAGTGAGGTACAAGATATAGAGGAGGGGAGTATTCCACTTCAACTAATAGGGATAAAAATACTGAAATGTACAAAATGTAAAGAAAATCCAATATTTATTTTTAGTTTTTTGCGAATAATTGTTTATTAAAATCTTAGAATCAGGAAGGTACTAGAAGGTGTGGACAGAAAACTTCCACATTCCCATCAGTTCTCCGTTTGAGTGAAATAAGGTATACCAAATTTGAAGATAATCAATTATTTGTTTTCCAAGTTATGACAGATATAGGTACTTAAAATTGTCATCCATCGTGGAGGAGATAGCAGAAATGGTCGACTGATATCTATCATCTCTACAACATATCTTGTGTTAGTAGAAATATTGAAATGCGTGAAATTTGAAAAGAATCTAATGCTTTTTTCGCATATTATGATCATTTTGTTGTTCAAAAATTTGACCACTTTGTGGAGAGTAACCAGTAGGTTTGGACCGATACATCCCATCTTCACACAAGATCTTGTGTTATTAAAAATGTTGGCATGTGTGAAATTTAAAGATAATCGGATTCTTCTTTTGCATTTTATTAGAGATTGAAATATTTAAAATTTTAACCCGTTGTGAGTTAGCTACCAAAATATATTACATCTTCAGACCTGATCTTGTGTTAATAGAAATATTGGGATGTACCAAATTTGAAAATAATCGGATGCTCATATCGCATTTAATGAGCATCGTGGTTATTCAAAATTTTGACCCGTCGTGGGGAGGTACTAGAAGGAGGGGACCCATATATCTCGTCCTTACACTATCTTAGGTTGAAAATACTTGATTTAAGAAATTCGAAGAAAATTGGATGCTTATGTTACAATTTATATGAGATTTAATGATTCAAAATTTTGACCCTTAATGGAGGAGGTACTTGATATCGTGAGCCGATATTATCCATTTTCGCACGTAATCTAGCACTGACAAAAATATTGGGATTTGCAAGGTTTGAATAACATTGGATGATCCTTTCTAGTTCTGTTATCGTGCGCACCAGAGAGCCAGACAGACATACGGACGGACACTCCTAATGTCCTGAAACGGATGTGGTCCAAAGAGATCTGCGGTCTAAAATCGTTATTTCGATGAGGCATGTTTTGGCCGTATCAAATTATATATACTCTCTGTAGCAATGAGGCTGAGTATATAAAAACCTGTACCCGTAAAATAAACAAATAACAGGTGAACTTTAGGCCGAACTTTGAATAGCCTCCACAATTTGAAAGGAATTTCCAAAATTCCAAAAAAAAAAATTATTTGAAAAATTCTACTGAAATCATAAAAAATCCTAATATAGCTAGTTATCCTTATATTGGGTCCTATAGGATGACGTGGACCTGTATGAGCAATTTTCTGTCATAGGCCATTACAATATTTAAATAGAAACTTGAAACAATCCCGGTGAATAATGAGGTCTATTCGAAGGCCTGTACCTGAAACTGGTAGGAACTTCAAATATGAAATTTGAAACAAATCAGGTGGACAATGTCGTTTTAGTCATCAAAAAACGGAATGTAGGAAGGTACTGTTATATGAGGGCGAAGACTTGTATGAGCAATTTTCTGCCATAGGAAGTGATACCCATCACGAACTCCAAATACCAAACAATTCCGGTTAAAAGTGTGACACAAATCATCAAAATACTGAATATCTTGCGGCACTGTTATATGAGGACTACACCAAAACTTGGACCTATGAAAAGTTCTATGCAAGGATGTTGCCGCATAATGGAAACACAAACTGCCAATTCGGTTGGAGTTGTGACTAAAACAAGATAAACATCTTAAATCTGGTGGTATAGTTAGATGGGGAATATATCAAAACGTGGACCTATACAATACATTTTCAATACCAAAAGTCCTACGGACCTAAAATACACTGAGTATTTTGTTCGTGATTTCCCTCAGACGGACAGTCATGGCTAATTCGGCATAGAATTTATATTTCGTTTTCTTTTAAATGATACCCAGTACCTGTATGTGTAATGGGTTCTGTCTACCGTTGCAGAACATTTTCTATATACCCAACATACCAAAAATACAATACAGCTTGAGAATAATATTATGAAAATAGTTTATCGTAAGAATTCCTCAACAATGCTAGAGAAAAACTTTTTTGCACAAACTTTTCTCAAATCTGTCCTTTGTTGACAAATTTGTTTTGATTTTTTTTTTTTGTGAAAATTGTCGACAAAAAAAAAATATTTTCTTTGGTTAAAATCAAAATCACGCGAATTTAAGACCCATTTCTGGACGAAACTCTAAGGTAATGATGAATAATAAATCTGGGAATCTGTAGTGTATATTATTTCAATCTCATTTCAGAATAGAGGCGTCAAAAAGTTGCAAGAATTCAAGAGAAGTGAAGAATTAGTGGAGGAGATGCGGAAGCTCAAGGGAAAGAACGCATCTAGGTATCAATGCAACAGGAGGCAGCGACAGCTGGGATGGCGATCAATGAATGAAATGTGTAAAATAATTAAAAAAAATATATTTTATACCATTGAAAAAATAAGCTTGATATAATATTACTTTCGTAAGCTTATTCTGCAATTACAAGAATAAGCTTATGAATAAGGGTTCCCTTTCGATTATTCTATAATTGTTAAACAAGCATTTCTCAATACATTCTCAAGATTTTCTCAAGCTTAAGGCTTATGTTTGAAAGCTTATTAAAATATTATTCTCAAGTCAATTTGGTATGTTGGGTATGTTCTAAACTATGCATGTATGCAAA